ATGTAATGAGAATAACAATAAAAATAATATAATTGATAGAATCAGGCGTTACTTTGCGGAAATCCATTATAATAAAAAATATAAATTTCTTCGCAACCTACTCGTTTGACCTACTTAGGCTCTATATCGGAAAAATAGCTAATACTCTTAGGAAAAACGGCGTTAACGTGGCATTCAAAACAAACAATTTGCTTAGGAATATTTGTAATAATAAAGATAAATTAAATATTAGTCAAAAATCGGGTGTTTATAAACTTGTTTGTGACGAATGCCACGCCGTTTACGTGGGTCAGACTGGTCGCAATTTCGGGACGCGCTATAAAGAGCATTTGGCCGCGTACAGAAATTGCAATCCTGATAAATCCCATTTTGAAATAATACTAGTTTTTACGGAATTTATCGTAAATATAAGAAATCATTATGTAAATCCCATTTTGCTAAACATCTCTTGAATACTGGACACAACCTAGCTAGCGACCATTCCTTTGAAGTCTTACATACTTGTAATAAGGGGCTGCGACTGTGTGTGCTGGAGCAGTTGGAGATTTTAAAAAGTAATTACGGTAATTATGCACTGCTGAATGAACAAACAAATGTTTTTAATTCTCCTTTGTTAAACATCTTTAAGGCTAATCTTTAATAATAATTTTAAGATTTATAATAATAAATAACTATAATAATATCAATAAAACAAAAATAATAATAGTATTTAAAAAAAATTAATCATAACAATAATGATAATTAGTAGCAGGTTTGTTATCGCACGGCGCGGTCACTCGCTACTTTGGTGGGGAGCGATTGTATCGGCGTGTATAAATAGCAGCTGTTTCGGCTCGCCGCTCGACAACAACATTCCGCCTGTGGCTTCGCTCTCGAGCGGTCTTGCCCAGGTAGTCCGCGCTCCCGTCCCCGCACAGAAGCGCCCCTCTCGCCCGCTCTCCCCAGCTAACACCGGCCGAGCAGACGCCGTTTGTGAGTTACTTTGTTTTTCGCATCGTTCTTGCCCCTCGCTCCGGCGGGGAGGCTTGAGCGCGCTTTGCTTTGTTTTGTTTTATTTTTAATTTTTATGTTATTGTTTTATTGTTATACTGTTACTGTTCTTAGAAGATCGTCTCTTGCTCTTCTCAGAGCGAGCCCTTGTTCTTTTCAGAACATAGGGACCCCAGCTTCTCGGAATAGAGCGTCAGTCCTCCCCATCTGCCACGCAAGGCCCTGTTCTTCTCAGAACAGGGACCCCCCTAGACTCTTAGAATAAATCGTCACCCCCCCCCCCGTCCAAATCAACATGTCTGTTACCATAGATAAAAACCAAGTTGGGATCGTGATTGTGTCCATTATCCGTCAAATCTACCAAAGTAAGGGATTATCCGTCAATATTGACGAAACCCTCCTCCTCGGCTGTCTCCCCCGCTCAAGCCCCCATTGCCCCTCAGGCATGTAACCCTCCACCTGTTGTCAAGTCATTCTTAGCAGAGGATGACTCCGAAGCCATGAACTCTGACACCGTGTCTGAAACTCCGTCCACCCGGTGTCGGAGGTCTGCTCCCACGTCAACCAGTAGCTGCTCCTCGGACTCAACACAGTCCGATCAATCAGTTATTGATACGACCCCCTTTACGGAAATTAAATCCAAGCGCGGTGCGAAACGCGCTGCGACCTCTCGCGCACCTTCCGCCCCCACAGCCCCCGCGCCTGCTCCATCCACCGCTGCCCTCCCCCCCCCCCCCCCCCTCCTGCCTCAAAAAATCCCGCCCCCCCCTCCTTACAACAGACCAAGCCAACCTTGGTATCAACTAAAATCATTCCACATTCTATGGAAGACTTTAGAAACATGGTGTGCCCTATCACACCACTCCCTCCCTGAAGATCGTAAAGTCAGGGCTGTCCTCCGCGGAGTTCCCTTTGAACTCGCCAACGAGGAAATCCTGGAGGACCTTAAGTCCCAGGGATCCCCAGTTGAGGCTGTGCACAAGATGCACAGCAGTAGGGGCAAGAGGTACTCGCTTGCCCTCCTCATTTCGTCCAACGTGCCGGAGGCGAAATACATTTTCCGACAGGTACACACTGTGTGCGCCCTGTCAAGAGTCAAAGTCGAAGCCCCCCTATAGGCGCGGTTTTCCGGCGCAGTGCCACCGCTGTCAACTCTACGGGCATGCGGTGGCCAACTGCTCAGGTGCGTTAAGTGCTTAGACCCGCACAGCTCGAAAGAGTGTCCTCGGCCCCGTGATACCGAGTACCCACCCGCTTGCGTCCTTCGCGGACAGATCGGCCATATGGCCAACTTCAGAGGCTGCCCTCGCGCACCTCGCCCCAATTTCGGCAACAAAGCTGCCAAAAAAGCCCCTCCACCGGTCAATGACCGTACATTCCCGGCCCTCCCATCCAAAATGCCCCCACAGGGCAAATCTCAGTCACCTCAGGACCCATATCGGCCCCCTCAGGAACCCTACCGGCCTCCTCACCTCCGCCCAATAGGGCCCCGACAACAGGCGGAACCCTCTTACGCCGATAACGTAGATACAGATACACTGCTATCCGCAATATCGACGTAAAAGAGATCGCAATTTTAGCACGCAAACTGCGCGCTTCTCAGTCACCTCAGGACCGTTTGCTCGCGCTTACCGAGCATCAACACCTTCTGAACTCAATCTAATTAGTCATCCCATTCGTAAGCTGCCTTAATTAGGCAGCAACTCTTCCCAGCGGCTACTCGCCGCTAGCGCCCTCCTTTCACCCAAGGGGGGTCGCTCCGATACGGCACAATAAAGCTTAATCAGCCAGTTGCCAGTCCCTAAAGGCGGTTTTTAGAGGGTTTTACTACACTTACTTACACTTAGGTTCCCCGGTAGAATGTGAGTCCCTCATAACCACGATAGACCGGCTTTCGTGATATGCGTAATGCATTTTCCGCCTCCCTACGTATAGGGGAGCCCTTTAATTGCTTCGGGCGCAAAAAAAAACTCGCCGCTCACTTAGCGATCAGCCGCCGGTAGAGTCTACATTATCTGAAGATGCCTCGTGTAGAGGCGAAACACGTGTCGTATTATCGTCGATGGTGTGTCTTACCTGGAACAGTGGTGTTGGGAGTAGTGGTGCTGGGACTAGTGGTGACGGAGTTAGTGCATGCAATTGAGGGAGGGCGAGAGGTGCTCTTCAATCCAGGTAAGACACATCATTGTATTTATTTAGCGGAAGGTTGCGAAGAAATTTATATTTTTATTTTTTATAATAGAAATAATGATTTAAAAGGCTAGTTTATCTAGATAATTAGCGATATGATAAAGATAGCAACACAATTCAATGGTCAGATCTTTTGGATGTCATATATGAGAGTATATGTGAGGTATAACTTTGAAAATTCAAGAATTTTATTACTTTTATTCATTTTTCAATAATGATTCGAATCCATTTCTTATGTAAATTATTATCAACTTAATATTTTAAACTGCGTTTAATACTACCCTTTTTTAATCTTATAAAAATTTTGATTTTTGTTAATATTAAAATAGTTATCGCGTGCTATGGTGACTTGGTATGATTTTAATAACATAAAATAAATTAATTAGATTATACTTACACTTTTTTAATATTTTTTCATAAACCTTGACATTACTCTTTAATATCTTTCAAAAAGTTTGCTAGTATTAGACGATTACTCAGAAAATATAATTTTGTCGTTTACTGCAAAACCAGAGTTTTATGTGTTTGCTTTTTCTAATATAATTCAAAATGCAGCAACAACATTGTTATAGTAAAATAATAATCATAAAATTTTACCTTTTATAAAAAAATGGTCCTAAGTCAGTCACTGATTTGATGAATAAGTAGTAAAAATAACTTTCAGTAATTTGTATTTTCCTAACATAATCATCGGATTCTTTAAAAAAATTAGATTTGATATATCATTTAGTTTAATATTTCAACGCGTTGGTGAGTTATACCACAAAAACAGTGAATCATTTTCCAGCTTCTTATGTTCCTTCCAGTTTTACAATTACCGACTTTTTGCTAGGGGCAATTTGTGTTACTGGCTATGGCTCATGTAGCTAGATATCCAGTTTCGAGTCGAAAGGCAAACTAGTGCTTTTTGTAAATACGTGGTTTATCGTAAGTACCCAGTTATATTACAATCAAAAGAAAGGATCGAAACAAGTCATGTTGCAAATTAATGTAAAGAATTTTGTTAACAAAATACGTCAGACTAGACTGTATGAGCAAAGATGCCTTTGCCTAAAAATAATAAAAAGTAATATGTAGAAAATCATTTTGTAGTTTGTACCGCGCTTTATGAATTTGTATTTTTTGAGTTTCATCGTGTGTTATTAGTTAGTTTTTGTGTTTCATGTTCTGTTTTTATAATGGAATTAGAAGAAAGCATAAAAGCCAATCCTAAGTGTTATAAATGTCACGTTGACCTAATGGGATCATTAAATATTGAATATAATACTTCAAGCTCAACGTTTCTATTGTGGAATAAATATGAAATATTTGTTTACGAGAATCTGACATTTGGAACTGCATCTAAAGTGATTGTACCAGAATTTCAGATTTATCAATTAATTTCATCTAATAATTTCATTATTTGCTTAGATTATACTGGTAATATACACACGATTTCTATGAAATTTAAACATGCAACACAAAAACGTGTAAAAGCTAACTTTCTACCTCGAGAACAATTCGTTTTAATTTGTATACTATACACTGCTAATAAAGTATTATGTTTAAAACTGGAACAAGACAGTTACTACTTGTGTATTCACAATTTTAATTCGGAATTCGAACTGGTAAAAAAAGTCAAAATAGTATCCAGTGTTGAATACTTCCATGTTAAGCAACTCCAAAAATTATGCATTTTAAAGTGCCACAAAATACCACTACATCGGTTGGAAAATGTAGCTCAACTATTTAATATAAATAAAAATATCTGGGAAGAATATTCATTAATTATTATTAGTTTGGACAGAAGAAATTTGTTTGGATGTGTATATTCATCGAAAATGACAGAAGATGAAATATCATTAGTAAAACTATACACAACACCTTCAGAAATCTGTGATATAAAAATAACTGAAGAACATCAATTATCACATATTTTAATTAGTTTAACAGCTGGTACGTTGATTAGATTACCTCTTGACAATAGTTGTAAAGCTACAGATGTGGTTCATTTAAATGCAGCTGTATCAAAATGTGCATCATTTAATGACACTATTATATATACAGATGGAGTTTCTATGTGGAAGTCTGAGAATACATTTACGGCTGATATAAAATTTCAACAATTAGTTGTGAGGCAAGTAAAAGATTTTGTGTGTTTTGGTGATCAGATACTATGTACTACATTTACAAATTTAATTTATTTATTGATGCTTGATGATGAGACGTCATATTTAAAAACATCTGCAAAAGAATATTGTGAAGCTGGAAATGTCTTAGATAATTCGGGATATTTGTACAAAATCTTGGAAGAAGTTGATAAAAATGACAAACTTGCAAAGAAAATTAACGAAGAAAGCAATTATATAACAGCATTATCATTATCAAATCGTCCTGATATATTGGATAAGGTTATAGGATATTGTGTGTTTGTTTATGAAAAATATGAAGAAGTACTTAAAGAAAGTGTGGAGTTGACTTTGACTGACAATATCAATGAATACTTTGTGAATAATTTGTTTTACTTTTTAATAAAAATAACTGTTTTGTTTGAAAAACAAAAAATAAGTGACATTTTAATACAAGTATTAATGGATTTAATGATACATGTGACATTTTTGTCTGAACAAAAGGTTATTAAAACTACAAGTATAAAGGTGCTGGAAGAACTGAAAAACTCTAATATACTTATTCCATTAAGTAGTAGAAATATAAATTCAACCGTTGATGTAAATATTAAGATTGTAAAAAGAATACCAGGAGCATTTGCACAGGAACAAGTATTATGCACAATTTTACATCAAAAACGAATATCTCTTAATTCTGAGCATTTCATAAAATCAAAAATCATTACGAAAAATATAATTTTATTAAAAGAACCAGAATACTCTGTTGAAGATACAATTCATCATGTTTCGTTTAATAACAATAAACATTTGTTTAAATTTACTGATATATCAAATTTAAGACAATTTGATGAGTGGTCTTTCTACATGAAATTGCCAAAGAATTACGAAGAAGCATTTAAAAACGAATCTTTCTATATACAGAAGTTTTGTTGTAATAAAGCAAAACAATTACTACAAGAAAACACATCTGAAGAATTTATCAAAGGATTAAACACCATTGGTTTTGAAATAGGAAGTGATAAAGTAAAAATCGAAGTTATCAATGATGGATTCTCAAGTTCCTCACTTAAAGTTACTAGTAAAGATATCAAAATAGGATTAGATATAAGGAATTTCTACAGTGATCTGACTTATAATAATTTCAAGGAATATAAACCTGGCAAAGAGTTTGTCAGATATACTATATATACTACAGTTGAAGTAAGTACCATTTTACCTACTAGCATGACTACATACTAGCTGCTTGGTTGAATGTGTATATAAGGTAAATGACAAGTGGTAAAATCAAAAATGCTGTACAACTGACTTCAATATAAATAAAATGACATAAACATAAACACTCACGCCTGTCACCCAGAGGGGTAGGCAGAGACTACAGACTTCCATTTGGCACGATCCTGACACACCTCTCTTGCCTCCTTCACATCCATACACCTACGCATACATGCTCGTCGGTTAAGGGTACTCCTAATTTGGCCCGTTTTCAATAAATCGCCAATTTGGTTTGGAGTAAAAGAAGTAGTTGAAAGAAAAAAGCAAGAAAGAACGGATAAGAATGATAGAAGAATATCGGATAACTTCCAGGCAAATATTAAAATGTTCTGGAAACTTGTAAGAACTGCCAGGGGACATTCAAAACAGCCTATGATGAATGCTATAAGAGACGAGAATGGCTATATTCTGAATGATGAAGTTTTGAGTTTAAAGAGATTGAAGGAATATTTTGAAAGCGTGTTTATGAGTGAGGAAACAACGTGTGTACTAAGTGAAGTAGAAACATCGAAAGAAGAGGAAAGAGGTAGCGAGATAAGTATAGATGAAGTAATGAAGGCAATGAAAAGCATGAAAGCAGGTAAGGCTGCCGGATATGATAGAGTTTCACTCGAAATGCTAAGGGCTGGAGAGGAAGTGGTGGCAGGCCTGCTCCACACCTTGTAATTTATGCTGGGAACTGAAGCGGGTACCGGTAGACTGGTGCAAAGCCGTGATAGTCCCAGTATATAAAGGAAGAGGGTCGCAGCAGGACTGTAAAAACTACCGTGGCATCAGCCTTCTTAGCATTGTGGGAAAACTGTATGCTAAGGTACTGATTGAAAGGGTCATGAAAGAAACTGATGGAAAAATTTGGGATGTGCAAGCGGGATTTAGAAAGGGAATGGGATGTACAGATCAAGTCTTTTCTATGCGCATGATCGCGGAGAAGTTTCTGGCCAAAAACCAAAAGGTTTTTGTGCGTTCATGGACTTGGAAAAGGCCTATGACAGAGTGGATAGGGATTTGCTATGACAAACACTGAACTCACTTGGGTTGAGCGCTGGCTTGATACAGGCATTGGAGTCTCTTTATAGGGACTCTAGTGCTTGTGTTAGGATCAACGGGGTCTACTCGGACTGGTTTGACATCCATAAAGGTGTCAGACAGGGCTGTGTGGCTTCCCCGTGGCTGTTCAACCTATTTATGGACAGTTGTTTGCAAAATTTGAAAGTTGAAGAATGCGGATTAAGAATGGGTGAGTTAACCGTCAAATGCCTTTTGTACGCCGATGATCAAGTTATTCTTGCGTCGTCGGCGGCCGAGTGGCATCCAGTATAAGTTGCAAATGATGGTTACATTAATAAACGGATCATTAAAAGAAAGGGGTATGAAAGTGAACGCAAGTAAGACGAAAGTTATGGTTTTTGAAAGAGAAGAAAGTAAAACGATTTGTGAAATAAGAATAGAAGGGGAGTTGATTGAGCAAGTAGATGAGTTTGTATATTTGGGCTGCGTATTTAGCAGGGATGGGAGATATGATAAGGATATAGAACGACGAGTGAATGCGGGAAATAGAGTAAATGGGGCCTTGCACTCTATTGTGAAGAGTCAAAATGTGTCGAAAAAGGCACATATGGCAATTCACAATGCTGTGTTGGTCCCTACTTTAACGTATGGTAGTGAAAGTTGGGTGTGGCAGAAGAAGCACGAGAGTAGAATAAACGCAGTAAAAATGCGGTCGTTAAGGAGTATGTTGGGGCTGAATCTGAATGACAGGGTAAGAAATTGTGTAATAAGAGAAGAGTGTGGTTTGCAAGATGATGTTGTGACTAGGATTAAGAAAGGAATGCTTCGGTGGTTTGGTCATGTGGAAAGAATGAATGAGGAAAGAGTGACAAAGAAAATTTATGGTGCAGAAGTGAATGGCAGAGTCGGAAAGGGACGTCCTTGGCGAAAATTTATCGACCAAATAAATAAAATGAGAACATCATTAATGCAGTCAATGTAAAATAAATATGCATTATTAAGGATAACTCAAAAACTACTGGTCAGATTTTAATCTAATTTATATGGGAGCACATAAAAAGCACCAGCTTTCAAATGAAAAAAGAATCAACAGAATCAGATCACCTAGACAAAAGTTCTGAGTAAACATACATTAAAAAAATACAGTTGAATTGAGAACCTCCTCCTTGTTTGGAGTTGGTTGAAAAGACTTTTATGTCTTTTCAAACATAAATGAGCTTAACTAAAATTCGTTAAAACTGCAAGCTTTTAATTGTAAACCATCTAATGGAAAGTGATGGTGCAATAAAAGATTGCAACCCACTGACTTACTTTAAAAAAAGCCTATTGCTTGCCTTAAAGACTCCCATTTTGTAACTGGGTGGAAAGACATGCTGGTAAATTATACCACTCACATACTACACTTTGTTGTTTTGCTGTATGATGACATTTGGTATGAATCCATTATATGTCGACAATAAAGGGGTGGAGCTAATCATCTTGTGGTTATGATAGAATGAAGCAGAAGAAATTAAGTCATGCATTTCCTGCTCACTCTGTAATGTCTCCTGTAAAAACTTTAAAAGTTGGCTCCATGCACAACCGGACTTGCTTGTCAGCTGAGGAGTTGTCTCGGCATGATATACAGCTGCACTTTTGCTAGGCTACCTAACTTCTTTGTGGCTGTTTTAACCTTGGACTGAATGAACTGCCCAAAGTTGAGCTACAAAGAAATCTCAACCCCAATTAAAACCTGACAGTGATCTCCAAAGATAAATGCCAGAAAAGTAAGAGGCAGGATGTATAGGCTTTCATTTTGCAGTAGATAGTATAGTAGTATGTGATGAAGTGACTAATGCCATTGGCAAGTGGCATTGGACTTTTAAAGGATCATTTTATTTTACACATTTTACATTTTGTGTCATTGTTAAAACAGTATCTACATTTGGATTATACCAGAATAGACTGAGCTGAGTACATAATATGTGGTAGAGCCGTGCTGCAGCTACATATACATAAACACTCTAGGACGTCCCTTTCCGACTCTGCCATGCACTTCTGCACCATAAATTTTCTTTGTCACTCTTTCCTCATTCACTCTTTCCACATGACCAAACCACCGAAGCATTCCTTTCTTAATCCTGGTCAGAACATCATCTTGCAAACCACACTCTTCTCTTATTACACAATTGTTTACCCTGTCATTCAGATTCAGCCCAACATACCCTTAACGACCCTTTCTACTGGAAACGTTTATTCTACTCTCGTACTTCTTCTGCCACACCCAACTTTGACTACCATTGTTAAAGCAGGGACCAACACAGCATTGTGAATTGCCATACGTGCCTTTTCACACATTTTGACTCTTACAATAGAGTGCAAGGATCATCATATTTCCCGCATTCACTCTATATCCTTATCATATCTCCATCCCATAAATACGCAGCCCAAATATACAAACTCATCTATTTGCTCGATCAACTCCCCTTCTATTCTATTTCACAAATCGTTTTACTTTCTTCTCTTTCAAAAACCATAACCTTCGTCTTACTTCTCACTTTCACAAGAATATATATCTTCTCTCTGGTCTTAGCCTGAATTATGTGGCCGTCAAAACTGATATATTTATAATGTGTATATTAATTTTGTTACAGAATTTCCAGAAAGCAGTAAAACAGTGCATTATAGAAGGCTTTAACAATGAAAAATTTAAAGTCCTATTTGAACAGTTTCAAAGAGATGTATTTGGTGCTTTGCCTTTATGAATTGAAACTAAATGCTTTAATGTTATATATATATGTCACAGAAAACTAGCTTAATTAGCCGTTCGATTAACAGCTTAGTCTTTTTACTAAACGAAGCCGTTTTACTAGCGGCCTCTAATTCAACATTGTACATACATCGACAGTAGATTAAGGTGCGGCTGGGGTGGCCCTTGGGCACATAGCACGTAATTAACCACAGACAAGAGACTTCTCATTGAATAAAATTAATAGGGTAACCATGCTATTTTTTTATAGCATTGGGTGACAAACGAGCACACAGTCCACCTGATGGTAAGTGGATGCTGTGGCTCATAGACATCCACATTTAAACTCTAATTAAGAATCATAATGCAAATGAGTTGTCACCCCTGAGGACTAAGACGGAATGCCACGATTCCATTAAAAAGGGTCTCTGGTTCTCTACACTCACCATACGAAACACAGAAGCATTACGCTGCTATTTTGTGAGAGTGTGGTCCTGCCCCGGTCGAGCCGACCCATTCGTTTTACAACTATATTATAGCTGTAGCGTGGCTCTACCACGTAAAAATATGATGTCTAGGCTGTTATCTGAAAGGCTAATTGAGCTAGTTGGCTTGACATATACTAATTAAAGTTGTAAATTGGACACTTGAGTGAGATTTTTTTATTAATTCAGGGTTTGGATTTAAGAATATATCTATTACTTCTGCATATTATTGTATATAATTAAGCATTGTGTATAACGTATATATAATTAAGCATTGTGTCCGATATCCATATTTCACTTTGTAATATTTACACTCTAGCTTTTTTATGCTTATTGCATTTATTATTATTTATTTGTATGTAGTAAGGAAGCTTTAGGCATATTTTTCAGATTTTTTTTTTTTTGATAATTATTACTACAATGGTGGATAAAACTTCTTTTGTAAAATTGTCGTACAAAATCCGTTAAATGTATAGCTTGAGTAGACGTATGAAGATGTTCAAGTATATAATGGAACGGAAATAAATAAATAATATTATTGCAAGGTCATGTGATGCAGTACTATCAAATAATTTTTTTTATATAGGATAGAGGGCAAACGAACATGCGGCTCACCTGATGGTGACTACCGCCACCCATGAACTACTGCAACAGCAGGGGAATTGCAGATGCGTTGCCGGCCTTTAAGAAAAGAGTAGGCTCTTTTCTTGAAGGTCACTAAATCGTATCGGTTCGGAAAAATCTCTGGTGGTAGTCGATCCTACAAGGAAGTTGTGCGAGGTAGAAAACTTCATCTAAATTGCACAGTGGTGAACCGCCAATCATGCAGATGGTATGTATGGTATCGCGTGTTTTGTCTCGATATGCGATATTGTGAAATTAAGCGGCTAGAATTAGACCGAACAATTCCTCTGAGAACTCCCCGTGGTAGATACAATAAAATACGCAGAGATGCAACAATTCTTCGCTGTGCCAATGAGTCAAGTCGATCAGAGAGAGCTCGGTTGCCGACCATTCGAACCGCTCTGCGCTGGATGCTATAAAACGAAAGGAGCTGGCACTCTGGAGCCCCAGCCCAGAGATGGGAACAGTATTCCATGTTAGGCCGAACCTGCGCCTTGCAAAGTTGCAGGCGGTATATCGGCATGAAGTACTGTCCCGCCCAGCTGAGCACGCCAAGCTTTTTAGAGGCCAATTTGGCCTTCTCTTCCAAGTGACCACGAAAATGCACGTCACTCGATATGTTGACGCCGAAGTTTACCGATACTGGCTGAGGCAACAAGGGAAGTGCCTTAAAGCTGAGGGGTTCTTTTAGGCGGTAATCGCGCAAACTTGTGTCTTCTGGGGATTGAACTGGACTAGGTTTAGTCGCTCCCAGTCCGAGACTTTGCTCAACAAAGTCTCTACTTCAGACACAAGTTTGTCACGGTACTCGGCGACGTTTTCCCGAGAAATATTGAAACAGCGTTGGTGATAGTACGTAGCTTTGTGGAACCACCAGCGTTAATGTGATTGTAATCGGAGCATGCACCGTCTACTACGATCTTGATGCTCCGATCTGCAAAAAAAACTGGTGATCCAATTGCAAAATTTCTCGGGAATCCAAAGGAAAAAAGCGCTTTGTGCCAAACCCGATCGAAGGCGATCCCGACGGAAATAATACTGGCGGTCACTAAACAGCTGGTGATCAAAGTAACTCATAAGCTGACAGTGAATGATTTCTTTCCATTACTTTAGAAAAAAGGAGGTAATAGCGATAGGCCTGCAGTTGGACGAACCTGAGCGGTCACCTTTTTTAGGGATCGGGTGCACCAAAGCTATCTTCCATGAGGACGGGACTACGCCTAGGGAAGTAGGAATACCGGAAAAGACGCGGTAAGCGGAGCGCGGACACACGTTTTCAGCACAATAAGTGGGACTCCATCAGGTCCACTCGACTTGTTGACGGTCCAGGGAAAGAAGGAGTGCTTTCTGACTGAGTGCTGTGTAAACAGCATATCCTGCGTGGAGCACTAACCCCCGTGTGTGTGTGTGTTCCCCCGTCATCGAGAGTCGAATTCGACGCAAAGAGAGAGCCTAACAGATCGGCTTTCACCTAAGCGGACCTTTTTATACGTGGTAGGGCCATGCTGCAGTTGTATTAGTAGTATAGTTGTAGCACGAATGGGTCGGCTCAACCGGGGAAGGACCACGCTCTCAAAGAATACGTTGATTTGCCTCTTGCCTCGACTTTTAAAACTGCTTTGAATTTAAAAACCACCTACAACCAGTGTAATTTTCGTTAATACCTAGCTTTGGGATCAGAAGAGCCTAAAAGACAATGTTATTAAGAGCGCATATTCAAATATGTCCAAGTCGAAATCTACGCGATCGCTTTGGAACGGCGTAATATTGACGTACACTACAATGTTATCTCTGTGTGCGTGTCAGGGCGAGTTCGACGCTAGTTGCTTTTAAGCTGGCTTTCCATTATGGGATATAATACATATTATATTACGAAATATAAATTATATCCCACGATTGCCCTTCACACTGTGAGATATATCTTTTAACCAGTGTGCGTTCGTCATTGGATGATCTGAGGACGTAGCGGAGGCGCGGAAGGGTGTGCGGGGTACAGGAGGTGAAATATAATATGAAAATATCGCTCGGTCGATCGAAAAAATATTTATAGTTTGGGATGTAATATATATTATATCTCAGTGGAAACGGTTCCATTTAAAAGTACGGTGAGCGATATTAATTTATATATGGAGATGTAATATAAATTATATTATATCCCATAGTGGAAAGTCGGCTTTAGTTGCACGAATCATTTTTACATTATTAGAACTAAAAGAATAAAAAAATAATTTCCACATAATGGCTTAAATAGTATATAGAAATTGGAGGCTAATATGGTGAAATTGTTTTATTCTTTTAGTACATTGAAGTCGGCTTTACATTTTCACCCTATTGAGTATATTATAAAATATGTTCTAATTAAAAATATGTACTATATAAAATACCAGGCGGTCCCATAATGAACTGGCCTGATATAGTTCAACGCGATATGTCGCTACATGTTGTGTTGCATTAAATAGTACGTTTATCGTGCACTTAATATAAGAAACATGCATCGACATGAAATGCTTAGTCTTAGTTTAACAGGCATTTGAATAACGAGAGTCCCGTATTTTTTCAAAATGTCGAAAACTGAGTATCGAAGTGTCATAAAGTTTCTGTTTAAAGAAGGTTTATCCCCTGCCCAAATAAAAGAACTATTGTATGGCGTGTATAAGGAGTCTGCCCCCTCCTATAGCACAGTGAAAAATTGGGTGAAGGAGTTTCGCCTCAGGAGAGAAACCGTCGAAGACTTTGGCCACGACGGTCGACCTGTGGAAGTGCTCACTCCCGAAACGATTGCTCTTATCGAAGAGGAGGTTCTGAGTGACCGCCGTTTGAAGATTAGAGAAATTGCAGCAAGGCTTGGGCTCTCTAAGAGTACCGTTCATCGCGCGATCCATGAACATCTTCACATGAAAAAAGTGAGTGCAAGATGGGTACCGAAACTTCTTTCAGCGGTACAGAGACAGGAAAGAGTGCGCTGCGCTTCGGAGTTTTTGGATCTTTGTGGCGAAAATCCAAAGACTGTGATCGAGCGGCTAGTGACTGGTGATGAAACTATGATCTTGTATTATGATCCACAAAGCAAGCGCGAGTCAATGGAATGGCGTTATAAGGGTGAAAAGCCCCCTAGAAAGGCAAAGGTGCAACAATCGACTAAAAAACTGATGTGCACAATATTTTGGGATTTTCAAGGCATTTTGATGGTGGATTTTAAAGAACGTAATACAGTCGTGAACGGCGAATATTATGCTTCTTTAATATATAAATTACGAGACAAGATAAAGGAAAAACGAAGAGGCAAGCTGTCTAAAGGTGTCCTGTTGCTCCATGACAACGCCACTGTTCATACCGCTGGTGTTTCGAAGGATGCAGTTCGTCAATGCGGGTTCACAGAAGTTCAACATCCACCTTACAGTCCAGACATGGCTCCGTCCGACTATTATTTATTTCCAAATTTAAAGCGGGACTTAAGAAGAAGAAAATTTTCAAGCGATGAAGAGTTGCAGGCGGCCCTCTTCAGTCATTTTGAGGATAAAAAATGTGATTATTTTTATAAAGGTTTAGAGATGTTGATTCACAGATGTCAGAAGTGTGTTAGTATTCATGGTGATTATATTGAAAAATAAAATTGGTTTCGTTTCATTTCGTTCATTGGTTCATAGTTAGGCCAATTCATTATGGGACCGCCTACGTATATATCATTTGATAAACTTTTATTCTGTTTCATAATGTAAACATAATTCATCAAACTAACAATTTCATTAGTGTCGGCGGGGATCGAACCCGGATTGCTCGCGTTTATGGCGAACACTTCGCCCTTGAGCTACCCAACTCAAGCACGGCTTTTTATGTCTTTGTTTAATCATAATGTTATCTCCACACTAGGAATTTTTCCTAAGTACATCGTGGAGGCAGTTTAAAT